TATTACAAGTTTTATTTACCAATAATGACATTAAATACTTATGAATTCGCCAGCTTTATGCTGATACTCGCTTTCAAAATAACTTGTATTCTCAGGTCACCAATAGACAGGTACGATGACCAGGTTTTGTGAAGACGGAGCAGTCAAGACTCGTCTTTTATTTTGAATATTCATTATATTGTTTTATTCTATGAAAGAACACACTTGTATTTAAAATTATACTATTAATGCAATGGATGATGTTGTTGCTTGTTTACTACTTTGCATTGTTCTGATACTTTACATGACGTCCTCCGCCCCAGAACGTTTCCGCCGTTCTTGGTTTTGGGGTGTGACAGAAAGCCCTTTCTGATGAATATTTGAGGTAAACTTTCCTGTTTCGAGTAAAATTTTTGTAACATTTTTCGCAAGACTGTTGTGTATGAAATTGTTGAAATTGTATGATACACCTTTTAGGTTTGAGTCGTACCCGAAGAACGCATGTAAGAGGTTTGTAATGGGTCAGAAACCCACCTTCATAACTGACGACAACCCAAATAAGGATATCAACATTGCATTTTATAATTTACCTGTCATAAAAAGGTACATTTTCTTCTACTATTATAAATTCACTACTACTTTTCCACCATTTGTTTGAAGATTTCAATTTTTAATATATACAGATTGAGGGGACTGAGCACATCTGAGATAGGTAGACTAGTATCAGTTACAGGAGTGCTGACTCGTACTAGTGAGGTTAGACCATAACTCCTTCAGGGAACTTTCAAGTGCTTGGATTGTGGAACCATCATCAAAAATGTTGAGCAACAGTATAAATACATTGAGCCCATGATATACATTAATGCTATGTGCTCAAAGAAAGGAAATTGGGCACTTCTTCGACAAGAAAGTAAATTTCCAGATTGGCAGAGGGTCAGGATGTAGGAAACATCAAAAGAAATACATGCAGGATCCCTTCCTAGATCATTAGATGTCATTCTTCACCATGACATTGTTGAACAGGCTAGGGCTGGTGACACGTATGTAAATTCACACACCTTTTTTGTTTCTTTACAAAGATGTAGAACATAACTCTTTTAACTTTTACACTTCACTTTGCAGGGTGATCTTTATTGGCACTATGGTTGTGATACTTGACATTTTCGCATTGGGAACTCCTGGAGAAAGAGCTGAAGTTCGTAGAGATGGTGGTAGTAAACGTGATACCACTGGCACTGTTCAAGAAGGTGTTAAAGGCCTCCGGGCTTTGGGAGTTAGAGACCTTTCTTATCGCCATGCCTTTATTGCCAATTCAGGTTTTTCATTTTTCATCATTTTCCACATTTTTTTTGTCAATCATATTTCTTTAAGGAACATCTATCTGCAAATTGTTTTTGTGGGGATAGTCAATAACATTGATTCCTTGTTCAGATTTGTGATGGGATAAGAGATGTTGACATAAGAAATAGGAAGAGGGACGTTGAGGATGAAGACAATCTACAATTCACGGTTCTTGTTTTGTCCCCTTTTTGACCCATTATATATATCTTTACTATCTTATAAAAGAAATCCCACTATTTCTATAAATAGATTCAATATAATAATAATATTTTTTTAAGACGTACAAATCTCTAAGCTTAAAGTACAAATAGTTATGAATAAAATAATATTAAATTTGAAGAAGTAAACAAGTCAGGAAAATTTCAAATTCCTTAATTACGGATGGATAGGGAGTAGGGTGGTAATTATTTGGTTCCAAACCAAAAAAACCGAAAACCAAATCGAACTGAAATCGATTTCAGACCAAACCATATTCAAATTCGGTTTTTTGTTTGATTTGAAACCAACCCGAATTTGTGAATTTGGTTTTTGGTTCGAGTTTCGGTCTCATGAAGTTTAGACCAAACCAAACCGAAAAACCGAATTTATAAATTAATTAATTTAAAAATATATTATATATTTATATATTAAATAGAAACAATAATTATATGTTAAAAGCATTGTAATTTATGTTTGGATTTTTTGTATGAAATTTTAATATTTATGTTTGCAACTTCAGGTTTCTATGTTTAAAGCATTGCAATTTATGTTTGGAAAATTGCAACACTAGTTTTTATTTTTAGGTAATATTTGGTTTCCTCGGTTTTCAAACCGAATCAGAATTCGGTTTTCGGTTTGGTTTGGAAAATTTGAATTCGATTTGGTTCGGTTTTCGAATTGGACTAAAAAAATTTTCAAACCAAGGAAATCGATTCGAGGAAACCGAAAAAACCGTAAACCGAACCGATTTCCACCCCTAATAGGGAGAATAATTCAAAAGTTTACAAAATTTTGTTGGGTTCTTATATTATCCCATATCATTGCACCTATATTTATGCATAATTCAAGGAGTTAATTGGTACACGCCCTCTCTCATATTTTCTCTTCAAAAACGAATGATGCCGCCCCAGCCATATCCATCATTTGTTAACGCAATCACTATGGCCACTCTCCTCCTCCTGTCTTACTTAACCCTTCCTTAACCCTTAACCGGTGACCTCCACCAACACTCATGCGAGCCACTACTTTTCCTTTCTGCCAAGAATGCAACTGTCGCTATGCTTTTATTCTCCGTCAAGAACCACCACCCTAATTTTGACACCTTATCTCTTGAATCTCGCCTTCTTCCCCATCGGAAGAACATAAAATTGGGTTCTTCATCTGGAAATCTAACCACAAAATCTTACCCCCGTGTCCCCGCCACATTTTCTCTGCCTCCCATTCTATTGTGCAATCTCCCCAAATTTGTTTCTTGGAAACCCTAACTACACAATCCGACAACCACCACCAACCACCACTCTTGTGTTGCTGCTAAACCGACCGCCTTCATCCACCACGACGACGATGATCATTCGCCACGATCTACCAATGTCACCATCCTTCTGGACATGCTCCCTCCATTCACACCTCCAACCACAAGGTGAAGATGAAACGTTCAAGGGCATATACTAATTTGATGATCGACCATTTTGTAAGATTTTTCCCAAAACTATGCAAATAACGGTTTTTTGTACCAAGAAATGTACAAAATACTTTTCTTTTCGAAGTACATTTGTCGTTCTTTTTCCTCCCGTAACGTTTCTACATGCTTAATTACTTCCACGTTGACTGATTATATGGTGCAACAAAACAATGGCGCATCAAAAGTCAAGTTTGTGTGTATTATGCTCCCAACATGTGTTCTGGTGATCTTATTTAGGTACGTTGAGTTGGGGTTTCCTCTTCTTTTTCCTACCATGACATTTTTGTTAGTCAATCAAATTCACATGTTTGTGATGGTTTTATTTGGTTTTTGAATCTACTATGGTTTTGGCGAGGTCAGAAAAGTTGTTGCTACATTCTCCTCTACCATCTGTCAGTTGTATCTCACTTGAAATCCTCTTGAACTTCATCTCTTCAATCATGTTTTTTTGTTGAAGGATCTAGCTAGGTATAAAATTTCATATCTCCACATATTTATTTTTGATTAATCGATGTCTATTCTTATGTTGTAAAAAGGATTTCCTTTATTTTCTTTGAGTGCAACAAATAGTGATATCAATTCAATTTACACAAAAAATCTCTACACTTTCCTTGATCATTAATCTTCAAGTCCCTCTAAACATACTTGAGTTCATCGATATATGATATGGGTCTGATTGGTGGTGGCAAGTCAACTATCTTGGATTGAACTATGATTATGTTGAAAATTCAAATTTGTGGTGCTTCAAAATGTAACCATCTTTGATAAAAATGGTTGATTCAACATTATTTTTGATGTTTGTTACTGTTAATATATATGATTAAACTTGTAATATTTGTATTTTTCTTGACTTTTCCATTCTTTGCAGGAATTACTACACCTGGCTAAAGCCATTTGGTGTTAAAAGCATAGGAGTATCCATATCTAGCAAAGTCTGGTACATTCCCAAGAAATAAAAGCTTGTATTTAAGGAGAAAATTTTAATTACGTGTTAAATGACTTGGTGTCCATATTTGTAGCTTGCATAGTAATGTAACCCAAAGAAATAAAAGTGGGTTGTTATTTATTATTGTATGACTCTTTTAGTTTCGTACACCAATTGTTTTTTTTCACCATATAGATTTATTTTTTGCATTTATTTCACATTGGACACTCTATAGTTTCACCAATACAATTTGTTTGTACATCGGTTTGTGGTTCTAGCAATATTTCTTCCTAATCATGTGGGTTTTGTGTTGTATAGTTTATGTCCTAGATTCAGGCCAATTGTTTGATAATTGTTTAGTTTGAAAAATGTTATAAGTTTGATGCTTAACCATGTATAAAAGTATTATAGTTTAGACATACTATTGTATTTAATTAATATTCAACTGTTTTTTTAGGTGGGATTGTGTTATTTTTTTGTTTTTGGCATAATGCTCACCTTAATATTTTTTTTTATATAATCATAGTAAATAGATATTTTGTAGTTTTATTTAGAAAATATAAAAAATTGTATGATACATTACATACTATTACTTGGAAAAAAGGAGGGACTATATAAAAAGAAATGGTTTACTAAATAAATAATTGAACCGATTTAATAAGATAACCAATAATAAAAACAAAATTTTCTTTTTTAATAGTAACTTATTATGAGGTGACTTTTTTCAATTGATATTATTATTATTATTATTATTTTTATTATTATCCTTATTAATTTGTCTATTTTGTTATACATGTCAAATATACATAATCGATATTGATGTGTATATATAGAATCAATATGATCGAAAATTTAATCTTAGATTTTTATTTTTATGAAATGGTTTATTTATTATGTTGCTCTTCGTAGAGGTGATACAGCTCCAGGAAGTAGAGTTGCATATCGAATGACAGTTGGAGGCTCTAATCAGACTTTCAGAGGCAATTGCCACTTGGGTCGGAGCATCGATTTATTTTAATCCACTTGGGTCGGAGCATCGGGTCAAGCGGCCCCGCCCGCGAGATGTGGCGGAAACCCTAACACTCTCTGCTTATTCTCCCGCCTAAAAGTGCATACACACATTCATTCATATCCTTCCCAATCAACGATTCACTTCCACAGTTGAGCAAAAAAAGAAAAAAAACTTGAGGAAGGCAGTAGCTAGCCAACAAGATGGATTCATATTTCACCGACGAGAAAGCAGCGAAGGTCGAGAATATCTTCTTGGAGTTTCTTAAGAGGTATCGCATCAGGGTTTTTTTGTATAGATCCAAAACAAATTGATGAAATTCATGTTATTTGACAAGTTTTGGTCTTTGCTTTCTAATTTAATTTTATTATCGTTACAGTTTTAGGTTAGATGCGAATTCGAGGGAACCTTTGTATGAATCGGAAATCGAAGCAATGAGACCAAACGAGTCCAACACAATGTTCATCGATTTCTCACATGTTATGCGGTTCAACGATGTTCTGCAGAAAGCCATTTCTGATGAATATTTGAGGTAAACTTTCCTTTCCTGTTTCATTTTTGGCTAGACTTTTGTGTTTGAAATTGTTGAATTGTATGATACACCTTTTAGGTTTGAGTCGTACCTGAAGAACGCATGTAAGAGGTTCGTAATGGGTCAGAAACCCACCTTCATAACCGACGACAACCCAAATAAGGATATCAATATTGCATTTTATAATTTACCTGTGATAAAAAGGTACATTTTCTTCTACTATTATCAATTTACTAGTATTTGTTTGAAGATTTGAATTTTGTATGTATGTTTGTGTACAGATTGAGGGAACTGAGCACATCTGAGATAGGCAGACTAGTATCAGTTACAGGAGTGGTGACTCGCACTAGTGAGGTTAGACCAGAACTCCTTCAGGGAACTTTCAAGTGCTTGGATTGTGGAACCATCATCAAAAACGTTGAGCAACAGTATAAATACACTGAGCCCATGATATGCATTAATGCAATGTGCTCAAAGAAAGGAAAATGGGCACTTCTCCGACAAGAAAGTAAATTTGCAGATTGGCAGAGAGTCAGGATGCAGGAAACATCAAAAGAAATACCTGCAGGATCCCTTCCTAGATCATTAGATGTCATTCTTCGCCATGACATTGTTGAACAGGCTAGGGCTGGTGACACGTATGTAAATTCACTCACACACCTTTTTTGTTTCTTTACAAAGATGTAGAACTAGAACATAACTCTTTTAACTTTTATACTTCACTTCACTTTGCAGGGTGATCTTTACTGGCACTGTGGTTGTGATACCTGACATTTTCGCATTGGCAGCTCCTGGAGAAAGAGCTGAAGTTCGTAGAGATGGTGGTAGTAAACGCGATACCACTGGCACTGTTCAAGAAGGTGTTAAAGGCCTGAGGGCTTTGGGCGTTAGAGACCTTTCTTATCGCCTTGCCTTTATTGCCAATTCAGTGCAGGTTTTTCATTTTTGATCATATTGCGATCAATTGTTTTTGTGGGGATAGTCTATAACATTGATTCTTTGTTCAGATTTGTGATGGGAGAAGAGATGCTGACATACGAAATAGGAAGAGGGATGCTGAGGATGAAGACAATCTACAATTCACGGTTAGGTTATTGACCCATCATATATAATTAATTCTCTAAAGTTATATATAATTTAAGTTTTTAATTTTTTTTATTGTTATTGTAGGCGGAGGAGGTAGCTGAGGTTAAAGAAATGAGAAATACCCCTGATTTTTTCAACAAACTTGTTGATAGTATGGCACCTACTGTTTTTGGACATCAAGACATCAAGCGAGCAATTCTGCTTATGCTTTTGGGTGGAGTTCATAAGTTCACCCATGAAGGGATCAATCTCAGGGGGGACATCAATGTTTGTATTGTTGGAGATCCTAGTTGTGCTAAATCTCAGTTTCTCAAGTAAGCATCTCTATCTATTTATATTTAAATCCTCTTTTATACAATGTTTCACAAATTTTTTTTTTTTGTAGATACACAACAACCTTAGTTTCAAGATCTGTTTACACATCCGGGAAATCTTCATCTGCTGCTGGATTGACAGCCACTGTTGCAAAAGAACCAGAGACCGGAGAGTTTTGTATTGAGGTATGTAAAAATATGTAAATTAAATACTGAAACATTCCAATTTTTTCAAATTCCAAACACCACTTTAATTCTTGTTTATGTGTTGTGTTATCTATCAGGCTGGTGCACTGATGCTTGCTGACAATGGTGTCTGTTGCATTGACGAATTTGACAAAATGGATATAAGAGATCAGGTAAGGTACTCATACTCATCACGAATGTATGTTATTTTCTTTTTTTTGCTATTATGCAATAATAATACCTCCTAATCCATCTGATTCTGATATCAAAAAGGTTGCAATACATGAAGCTATGGAACAACAAACAATTAGTATCACAAAAGCAGGAATACAAGCAACATTGAACGCAAGAACATCAATTTTGGCTGCTGCCAATCCCACAGGAGGCCGCTATGATAAATCTAAACCCTTGAAGGTCAGAAATTTACTAATCCAATTAATTATAATGGTAGAATCTATCTGTAATTTGAATTAAGATTTAAGAATGTTGCAGTATAATGTTGCGCTTCCTCCAGCCATTCTTTCAAGATTTGACCTGGTGTATGTGATGATTGATGATCCTGATGACACAACAGATTTCCATATCGCCTCTCACATTGTCAGAGTTCATCAAAAGCGTGAAAATGCTGTTGCTCCTGCCTTCACCACTGCACAGCTCAAGCGTTACATTCAAGTTGCCAAGTCTAAAAAGCCAAAGGTCCGTGTCTTTTTTTTTTTTTTTTTTTTTTTTTTTTTTTTTTTTTTGTTTGTTTGTTTACTAATAAAATGTTGTGAATTTTATTAATGCAGCTAAGTGTAGAAGCAAGAAAAGTTTTGGTTGATTCTTATGTTGCTCTTCGTAGAGGTGATACAGCTCCAGGAAGTAGAGTTGCATATCGCATGACAGTTAGACAGTTGGAGGCTCTAATCAGACTTTCAGAGGCAATTGCCAGGTGTCACCTCGATGATGAGGTAAACAATTTTTTTTACATATCTTGGTCTTTGCATAACAAATAAATACCACAAGTAGCAAACAAACACCTTTTTAAGTGTTACTAAAGATTGCATCTTTTTAATGATGAGGGGCATTCTCGTCTTTTCTTGTTTCATCTTTTTAAGTGTTACTAAAAGTTGCAATTTTTATTGTGACTTGTGTGCTAAGTTTGCTCCAAATTGTGTGTGTATTCTGTTTCAGGTTCACCCTCGCCATGTTAAGTTAGCAACAAGACTTCTAAAAACTTCAGTAATCAGGCATGTTTTATTTATGAGTAATTATTTTTCCCTATTTAAATAATAGTCTTTTTAGGTTAAGACAGGGACCAAGCGCGTAACAAAAACAAGAGTTAAAAAAATATAAGTTAGGGACCGAAGGTGCAAATTACCCCAAACCATAGGGACCATTTGTGTTTATTTATTGATTGTATCACTAATTACTATGTATTGGAGGAACCTGCAGTGTGGAGTCAACTGAGATTGATTTGACCGAGTTCCAAGAAGATGGAGATGGTGATGTTGAACCACAGACAGCAGATGCCAATAACGAGCAACCAGGTTGCTATTTATTTTGCTCTGGAGAAGATGGATAGAAACTAGAAATGTTATTTGGATCTTGGATAGAAATTAACAACTGTAATTGAAATTTTCTTTATTTATTTAATTTGTGTTTGTGTTTGTGCAGAAAATGGACAAGGGCAGGAACAGGAAGGGAAGAAACTTGTGATAACAGATGAATACTTTCAGAGAGTGACTCAAGCCCTTGTCATGCGTCTTAGACAACATGAGGAAACTGTTATGCAAGATGGTATCTTTTCTTTTTGCATCATATTAACATAACAGTAACACACCTTCATTCTGTTATACAATTCTACTTTCTTCTTTCACCTCCATGTAATTTTCAAAACTACAATATGAAAACCTCTTAAATATACACATGTTGGTTGATTTCTTGATTTCAGGGAGTGGGTTAGCTGGAATGAGGCAAAGGGATCTGATACAGTGGTATGTGGGTCAACAGAATGAGAAGAACAACTACAGCTCCATGGAAGAGGCAAAGGCTGAAGTCACCAAGATTAAAGCTATCATAGAGGTAATCAAATCCTTTCTAAAACTACAGTGTTGTAGTTAGTTCATCATAAAAAAAATCTGAAAAGAATGTTTGTTTGGGTATATATTGATGCAGAGTTTGGTGAGAAGGGAGGGGCATCTGATAGTGGTAGATGACGAGGCACAAGGGGATGATGGAGTACGTTCTTCTCGAAACAACAGGATTCTTGCTGTGGCACCTAACTATGTTATTCATTAAAATGCATTTAACATGCTTTGCTTTCAAATGTTGTTCAATTGATTAAAAGTCTTGATTTCTATGGATATATCCTCCAAATGGTTGTTTTAGTACAAAGTTTTAATTTATTTTCTTTGGCCACAATATATATATATATATATATATATATATATATATATATATATATATCCTTCACCACTAATTTATCATCATTCACTATAATAAATAACTATTAGTGTAAACAATTAATATACCGATTTGGATAGTTTCTTGATTCTTATATGAAAGGTATCATAAATAAATTCTTATTATTCATCATGTATCTCAAGCAGCTTCAGTTGCTTATAAAGTATGAGAATGATAACAATAGAAAATTAGCTTCAGTTGCTTATAAAGTATGAGAATGATAACAATAGAAAATTAGCAGAGGGACTTAAATTGCCAAAAACTATAAATTGAAAGTCAAACAAACCAACCGAGGACTCAAAATGGAAATAAGAAAAAGTAGGAATGAAAACGCAAAAGAGGTGCTGATATAATTTTTTTCTAACAACCTTAAATAAGAAAAAAATAAAAAATAAAAACCTGTTATTATTGTCCGTAATATCAACTTTATTAAAACTTAATAAATTTAATGACCTTTAAAACCTACAAAAAGTTAAGCCATCAAATAAAAATAATTTCAAAACTTTAATTACCTTTAAAACGTGCAAAATAGATTGGGCTTCTGCTTCATATACTTCTCTACTTTCATAAATAGTTGATGAGAAAATTATTATTTTAAAAGCGTAAGTTATTTTTTATATATTATAAACACTCTTATTTGATTTCATATACATTGACCATTTTTTAGTTACCTAAATTTGCAGTGAATAGAACATCTTTTACATCGATTTATTTTAATATCGACTTGGGTCGGAATTCGGAGCATCGGGTCATGGCGGCCCAGCCCGCGAGATGTGGCGGGAAACCCTAACATGCACTCCTTATTTTCCCCCCAAAAAGTGCATACACTCATTCATTCATCTACTTTCCGATCAACGAATTCACTTCCACAGTTCTGCAAAAAAAAAAAAAAAAAAAACTTGAGGAAGGCAGTAGCTAGGCAACAATATGGATTCTTTCGGCGGCGCATATTTCACCGACGAGAAAGCAGCTAAGGTCGAGAATATCTTCTTGGAGTTTCTTAAGAGGTACCACATCAGGTTTTTCGTGTAGATCCAAAACAAATTGATGCAATTCATATTATTTGACAAGTTTTGGTCTATTTTTATTTTATTTTATTTTATTATCGTTACAGTTTTAGATTAGATGCCAATTCGTGGGAACCTTTCTATGAATCGGAAATCGAAGCAATGAGACCAAACGAGTCCAGCACCATGTTCATCGATTTCTCTCATGTTATGCGGTTCAACGATGTTCTGCAGAAAGCCATTTCTGATGAATATTTGAGGTACACTTTCATGTTTCTAGTAAAATTTTACTAAAATTTATCGCAAGACTAATATAATAGGTCAGAACGCATGTAAGAGGTTTGTAATGGGTCAGAAACCCACCTTCATAACTGACGACAACCCAAATAAGGATATCAACATTGCCTTTTATAATTTACCTGTCATAAAAAGGTATATTTTCTTCTACTATTATCAATTCACTACTACTTTTTCCACCATTTGTTTGAAGATTTCAATTTTTAATATATACAGATTGAGGGAACTGAGCACATCTGAGATAGGCAGACTAGTATCAGTTACAGGAGTGGTGATTCGTACTAGTGAGGTTAGACCATAACTCCTTCAGGGAACTTTCAAGTGCTTGGATTGTGGAACCATCATCAAAAATGTTGAGCAACAGTATAAATACACTGAGCCCATGATATGTATTAATGCTATGTGCTCAAAGAAAGGAAACTGGGCACTTCTTCGACAAGAAAGTAAATTTGCAGATTGGCAAAGGGTCAGGATGCAGGAAACATCAAAAGAAATACCTGCAGGATCCCTTCCTAAATCATTAGATGTCATTCTTCGCCATGACATTGTTGAACAGGCTAGGGCTGGTGACACGCATGTAAATTCACACACCTTTTTCGTTTCTTTACAAAGATGTAGAACATAACTCTTTTAACTTTTATACTTCACTTTGAAGGGTGATCTTTACTGGCACTGTGGTTGTGATACCTGACATTTTCGTATTGGCAGCTCCTGGAGAAAGAGCTGAAGTTCGTAGAGATGGTGGTAGTAAACGTGATACCACTGGCACTGTTCAAGAAGGTGTTAAAGGCCTCCGGATTTTGGGAGTTAAAGACCTTTCTTATCGCCTTGCCTTTATTGCCAATCCAGTGTAGGGGTTTCATTTTTCATCATTTTCCACATTTTTCTGTCAATCATATTTCTCTAAGGAACATCTATCTGCAAATTGTTTTTGTGGGGATAGTCAATAACATTGATTCCTTGTTCAGATTTGTGATGGGAGAAGAGATGCTGACATAAGAAATAGGAAGAGGGACGCTGAGGATGAAGACAATATACAATTCACGGTTGTTGTTTTGTCCCCCTTTTTGACCCATTATATATATATATATATATATATATATATATATATATATATATATATATATATATATATATATATATATATATATATATAAAATCCAAAGGTGCTTAGGAATAATATTTTTTTAGGCTTTAGGTTTTTGCCACAAAAGTTTGCTGAATTTGACACTTTTAGTCTTACATTTTTGCCTTTTGATTAAGTTTTTGTGCCTTAAGGTTTTCTCGTAATATCAACTTTATTAAAACTTAATAAATTTAATGAGCTTTAAAACCTACAAGAAATTAAGCCATCAAATAAAAATAATTTCAAAAGTTTAATTACTTTAAAAGGAAGAAAATAGATTGGGCTTGATCTTCATATAGTTCTTTACTTCTTTTCTACTTTCATAAATAGCTGATAAGAAAATTATTATTTTAAAAGCGTAAGTTATTTTTTATATATTATATTATAAACACTTTGATTTGATATACATTGACCATCTTTTAGTCACCTAAATATCCACTTGGGTCGGAGCATCGGGTCATGGCGGCCTAGCCCGCGAGATGTGGCGGGAAACCCTAACACGCTCTGCTTATTTTCCCGCCAAAAAGTGCATACACTCATTCATTCATCTACTTCCCAATCAACGAATTCACTTCCACAGTTCTGCAAAAAAAAAAAAACTTGAGGAAGGCAGTAGCTAGGCAACAATATGGATTCTTTCGGCGGCGCATATTTCACCGACGAGAAAGCAGCTAAGGTCGATAATATCTTCTTGGAGTTTCTTAAGAGGTACCGCATCAGGTTTTTCGTGTAGATCCAAAACAAATTGATGCAATTCATGTTATTTGACAAGTTTTGGTCCTTTTTTATTTTATTTTATTTTATTATCGTTACAGTTTTAGATTAGATGTCAATTCGTGGGAACCTTTCTATGAATCGGAAATCGAAGCAATGAGACCAAACGAGTCCAGCACCATGCTCATCGATTTCTCTCATGTTATGCGGTTCAACGATGTTCTGCAGAAAGCCATTTCTGATGAATATTTGAGGTACACTTTCATGTTTCTAGTAAAATTTTACTAAAATTTATCGCAAGACTAATATAATAGGTCAGAACGCATGTAAGAGGTTTGTAATGGGTCAGAAACCCACCTTCATAACTGACGACAACCCAAATAAGGATATCAACATTGCCTTTTATAATTTACCTGTCATAAAAAGGTATATTTTCTTCTACTATTATCAATTCACTACTACTTTTTCCACCATTTGTTTGAAGATTTCAATTTTTAATATATAAAGATTGAGGGAACTGAGCACATCGGAGATAGGCAGACTAGTATCAGTTACAGGAGTGGTGATTCGTACTAGTGAGGTTAGACCATACCTCCTTCAGGGAACTTTCAAGTGCTTGGATTGTGGAACCATCATCAAAAATGTTGAGCAACAGTATAAATACACTGAGCCCATGATATGTATTAATGCTATGTGCTCAAAGAAAGGAAACTGGGCACTTCTTCGACAAGAAAGTAAATTTGCAGATTGGCAGAGGGTCAGGATGCAGGAAACATCAAAAGAAATACCTACAGGATCCCTTCCTAAATCATTAGATGTCATTCTTCGCCATGACATTGTTGAACAGGCTAGGGCTGGTGACACGCATGTAAATTCACACACCTTTTTCGTTTCTTTACAAAGATGTAGATCATAACTCTTTTAACTTTTATACTTCACTTTGAAGGGTGATCTTTACTGGCACTGTGGTTGTGATACCTGACATTTTCGTATTGGCAGCTCCTGGAGAAAGAGCTGAAGTTCGTAGAGATGGTGGTAGTAAACGTGATACCACTGGCACTGTTCAAGAAGGTGTTAAAGGCCTCCGGGTTTTGGGAGTTAGAGACCTTTCTTATCGCCTTGCCTTTATTGCCAATCCAGTGCAGGAGTTTCATTTTTCATCATTTTCCACATTTTTCTGTCAATCATATTTCTCTAAGGAACATCTATCTGCAAATTGTTTTTGTGGGGATAGTCAATAACATTGATTCCTTGTTCACATTTGTGATGGGAGAAGAGATGCTGACATAAGAAATAGGAAGAGGGACGCTGAGGATGAAGACAATATACAATTCACGGTTGTTGTTTTGTCCCCCTTTTTGACCCATATATATATATATATATATATATATATATATATATATATATATATATATATATAATCCAAAGGAGCTTAGGAATAGTATTTTTTTAGGCTTTAGGTTTTTACCACAAAAGTTTGCTGAATTTGACACTTTTAGTCTTACATTTTTGCCTTTTGATTAAGTTTTTGTGCCTTAAGGTTTTGTCGTAATATCAACTTTATTAAAACTTAATAAATTTAATGAGCTTTAAAACCTACAAGAAATTAAGCCATCAAATAAAAATAATTTCAAAAGTTTAATTACTTTAAAAGGAAGAAAATAGATTGGGCTTGATCTTCATATAGTTCTTTACTTCTTTTCTACTTTCATAAATAGCTCATAAGAAAATTATTATTTTAAAAGCGTAAGTTATTTTTTATATATTATATTATAAACACTTTGATTTGATATACATTGACCATCTTTTAGTCACCTAAATATCCACTTGGGTCGGAGCATCGGGTCATGGCGGCCTAGCCCGCGAGATGTGGCGGGAAACCCTAACACGCTCTGCTTATTTTCCCGCCAAAAAGTGCATACACTCATTCATTCATCTACTTCCCAATCAACGAATTCACTTCCACAGTTCTGCAAAAAAAAAAAAAAACTTGAGGAAGGCAGTAGCTAGGCAACAATATGGATTCTTTCGGCGGCGCATATTTCACCGACGAGAAAGCAGCTAAGGTCGATAATATCTTCTTGGAGTTTCTTAAGAGGTACCGCATCAGGTTTTTCGTGTAGATCCAAAACAAATTGATGCAATTCATGTTATTTGACAAGTTTTGGTCCTTTTTTATTTTATTTTATTTTATTATCGTTACAGTTTTAGACTAGATGCCAATTCGTGGGAACCTTTCTATGAATCGGAAATCGAAGCAATGAGACCAAACGAGTCCAGCACCATGTTCATCGATTTCTCTCATGTTATGCGGTTCAACGATGTTCTGCAGAAAGCCATTTCTGATGAATATTTGAGGTACACTTTCATGTTTCTAGTAAAATTTTACTAAAATTTATCGCAAGACTAATATAATAGGTCAGAACGCATGTAAGAGGTTTGTAATGGGTCAGAAACCCACCTTCATAACTCACGACAACCCAAATAAGGATATCAACATTGCCTTTTATAATTTACCTGTCATAAAAAGGTATATTTTCTTCTACTATTATCAATTCACTACTACTTTTTCCACCATTTGTTTGAAGATTTCAATTTTTAATATATAAAGATTGAGGGAACTGAGCACATCTGAGATAGGCAGACTAGTATCAGTTACAGGAGTGGTGATTCGTACTAGTGAGGTTAGACCATAACTCCTTCAGGGAACTTTCAAGTGCTTGGATTGTGGAACCATCATCAAAAATGTTGAGCAACAGTATAAATACACTGAGCCCATGATATGTATTAATGCTATGTGCTCAAAGAAAGGAAACTAGGCACTTCTTCGACAAGAAAGTAAATTTGCAGATTGGCAAAGGGTCAGGATGCAGGAAACATCAAAAGAAATACCTGCAGGATCCCTTCCTAAATCATTAGATGTCATTCTTCGCCATGACATTGTTGAACAGGCTAGGGCTGGTGACACGCATGTAAATTCACACACCTTTTTCGTTTCTTTACAAAGATGTAGAACATAACTCTTTTAACTTTTATACTTCACTTTGAAGGGTGATCTTTATTGGCACTGTGGTTGTGATACCTGACATTTTCGTATTGGTAGCTCCTGGAGAAAGAGCTGAAGTTCGTAGAGATGGTGGTAGTAAACGTGATACCACTGGCACTGTTCAAGAAGGTGTTAAAGGCCTCCGGGTTTTGGGAGTTAGAGACCTTTCTTATCGCCTTGCCTTTATTGCCAATCCAGTGCAGGAGTTTCATTTTTCATCATTTTCCACATTTTTCTGTCAATCATATTTCTCTAAGGAACATCTATCTGCAAATTGTTTTTGTGGGGATAGTCAATAACATTGATTCCTTGTTCAGATTTGTGATGGGAGAAGAGATGATGACATAAGAAATAGGAAGAGGGACGCTGAGGATGAAGATAATATACAATTCACGGTTGTTGTTTTGTCCCCCTTTTTGACCCATATATATATATATATATATATATATATATATATATATATATATATATATATATATATATATATATATATATAATCCAAAGGAGCTTAGGAATAGTATTTTTTTAGGCTTTAGGTTTTTGCCACAAAAGTTTGCTGAATTTGACACTTTTAGTCTTACATTTTTGCCTTTTGATTAAGTTTTTGTGCCTTAAGGTTTTCTCGTAATATCAACTTTATTAAAACTTAATAAATTTAATGAGCTTTAAAACCTACAAGAAATTAAGCCATCAAATAAAAATAATTTCAAAAGTTTAATTACTTTAAAAGGAAGAAAATAGATTGGGCTTGATCTTCATATAGTTCTTTACTTCTTTTCTACTTTCATAAATAGCTGATAAGAAAATTATTATTTTAAAAGCGTAAGTTATTTTTTATATATTATATTATAAACACTTTGATTTGATATACATTGACCATCTTTTAGTCACCTAAATATCCACTTGGGTCGGAGCATCGGGTCATGGCGGCCTAGCCCGCGAGATGTGGCGGGAAACCCTAACACGCTCTGCTTATTTTCCCGCCAAAAAGTGCATACACTCATTCATTCATCTACTTCCCAATCAACGAATTCACTTCCACAGTTCTGCAAAAAAAAAAAAAAAAACTTGAGGAAGGCAGTAGCTAGGCAACAATATGGATTCTTTCGGCGGCGCATATTTCACCGACGAGAAAGCAGCTAAGGTCGATAATATCTTCTTGGAGTTTCTTAAGAGGTACCGCATCAGGTCTTTCATGTAGATCCAAAACAAATTGATGCAATTCATGTTATTTGACAAGTTTTGGTCTTTTTTATTTTATTTTATTTTATTATCGTTACAGTTTTAGATTAGACGCCAATTCGAGGGAACCTTTCTATGAATCGGAAATCGAAGCAATGAGACCAAACGAGTCCAACACAATGTTCATCGATTTCTCTCATGTTATGCGGTTCAACGATGTTTTGCAGAATGCCATTTCTGATGAATATTTGAGGTAAACTTTCCTGTTTCGAGTAACATTTTTCGCAAGACTTTTGTGTATGAAATTGTTGAAATTGTATGATACACCTTTTAGGTTTGAGTCGTACCTGAAGAACGCATGTAAGAGGTTTGTAATGGGTCAGAAACCCACCTTCATAACTGACGACAACCCAAATAAGGATATCAACATTGCATTTTATAATTTACCTGGCATAAAAAGGTACATTTTCTTCTACTATTATCAATTCATTACTACTTTTTCCACCATTTGTTTGAAGATTTCAATTTTTAATATATACAGATTGAGAGATTGAGGGAACTGAGCACATCTGAGATAGGCAGACTAGTATCAGTTACAAGAGTAGTGACTCGTACTAGTGAGGTTAGACCAGAACTCCTTCAGGGAACTTTCAAGTGCTTGGATTGTGGAACCATCATTAAAAATGTTGAGCAACAGTATAAATACACTGAGCCCATGATATCCATTAATGCTATGTGCTCAAAGAAAGGGAATTGGGCACTTCTTCGACAAGAAAGTAAATTTGCAGACTCTGCTTGATCTTCATATAGTTCTTTACTTCTTTTCTACTTTCATAAATAGCTGATAAGAAAATTATTATTTTAAAAGCTTAAGTTATTTTTTATATATTATATTATAAACACTTTGATTTGATATACATTGACCATCTTTTAGTCACCTAAATTTGCAGTTATAATATCCACTTGGGTCGGAGCATCAGATCGTGGCGGCCCAGCCCGCGAGATGTGGCGGGAAACCCTAACACGCTCTGCTTATTTTCCCGCCAAAAAGTGAATGCACTCATTCATTCATCTACTTCCCAATCAACTAATCCACTTCCACAGTTCTGCAAAAAAAAATGTGGAAGGCAGTAGCTAGGCAACAATATGGATTCTTTCGACGGCGCATATTTCACTGACGAGAAAGCAGCTAAGGTCGAGAATATCTTCTTGGAGTTTCTTAAGAGGTACCGCATAAGGTTTTTCGTGTAGATCCAAAACAAATTGATGCATTTCATGTTATTTGACAAGTTTTGGTCTTTTTTATTTTATTTTATTTTATTATCGTTACAGTTTTAGATTAGATGCCAATTCGAGGGAACCTTTCTGTGAATCGGAAATCGAAGCAATGAGACTAAACGAGTCCAACACCATGTTCATCGATTTCTCTCATGTTATACGGTTCAACGATGTTCTGCAGAAAGCCATTTCTGATGAATATTTGAGGTAAACTTTCCTGTTTCGATGCAGAGTTTGGTGAGAAGGGAAGGACATCTGATAGTGGTAGATGACGAGGCACAAGGGGATGATGGAGTACGTTCTTCTCGAAACAACAGGATTCTTGCAGTGGCACCTAACTATGTTATTGATTAAAATGCTAATATGCTTTCAAATGTTGTTGATCGACTAAAAGTGTTGATTTCTATGGATATATCCTCCAAATGGTTGTTTTAGTAGAAATGGAACTTTTAAGTCTTTAATTTATTTTTTGTGATTTAGAGTCTTTGGCCACAAGATCCACAATATATATCATTCGCCACTTATTTATCATCATTCACCGTAAAACTTTAAAAGTGAGTAAAAACCCAACCAACGAACATAAAAACCGACAAAACCGCAACTGATAGAAAAGTTGATGGTGCGGATTTAATTTTTGCAAAAACCGAAGTTATCGGTCTGGTGCGGTTTTTATAAAAAAACCGGGCCACCAAAACCGAAATAATAAATTACTAATTTATATCATATACATAATCATATATCGCATATTATCTAAAAGAGTAATAAATATATAGTTATATATAGATATGCATCGATAAATATTTACAGTTTATTAATTTAATGACATTGGAAACCTTTTAAAAGAAGGTCGGCCCACTATTCCATTCTCCACTTCGTGTTCTTGTGTTAGACTTAGACGAGATAAATGTGTGTTTAATTGTGTTTGTGGAACCACATATCATAATTTTGATGGAGGTCACTGTTAGTTTTTTTATACAAAAATAGGTTTTATCATTTTGTATGACATAAATAGTTTTTTTTTCTATAAAACTTATTTAATCTGTTTATTTATCAATGCTTTTGTATTTGTATATATAAAAAGGAACTTGTTTCAGAAAAGGATATGAAATAAAATCATAAATGATTATTTGAAAAAAACGTTGTTTTTAATTTTTTTTGTCCATATGTTGGCTATTTAGTTAAAAATTAGTTGACTTATTTTCAAAAAATGGCACCCAGGCAAGAAGTGGATTTGCAGAGTTACAAAAATCTCGACCCATTACAACAGAAACCGCACCAATGAATATGGCTGGTTTAAAATCGAAACCGTACCATTTAAACTAAACCGCAAAACCGAACCATTAAAAAACCGCACTCATCGGTTTTAGTACGACAAAAAACCGCACCTTGCATGTAACATCCCAAAAATCCAGACCAAAATTTTTATTTTTAATATAGCAATTTATAGAAAACACTATCAAGTTATTCCATTTCATAAAACCATAGATCATACATCTCAAACCATATCATAAAATAGTAATAAAATCAGAGTACAATTCCCAGAAATCTCATATGCGGAAAATCATGTGTGTGTGATACGCTGCTACCGTGCTGGCTCCTTTCCCCTGGAAGAAGAAGGACCTGAAACAAAAACTGTAAACCGTAAGCACGAAGCTTATTGAGTTCCCCCATCATACCACATACCATACATAACCAGGTAGTAGCTACCCATTCGGTATCTTTCAACCGGTAACTTGCCTAGCATATTAGGGTGCTGGCCTACCCCTTCGACCCTGTCGACCGGTAACTTGCCTAGCATATCAGGGTGCTGGCCTACCCCTTCAGCCCTGTCGACCGGTAACTTGCCTAGCATATCGGGGTGCTGGCCTACCCCTTCGGCCCTTTCGACCGTACCGGGGACTATTCCACCCCCTACTCTACCATATAGCATCCTAGTGCATAAACATATAATCATATACTGCCTAGCCTATCTGGGTGCTGGCATACCCCTTCGGCCCTATCGACCGGTATTGGGGTCTATTCTACCCCTCCTATCTCATATCACATAACAACATAGCATAATAGCACATAACACAACATATAGTTGTTGGGTTTTCAGCATTCTAACACTCCTATGGTGTACATGCAACCCTATAAACCTTGGATCTATGTTTTCTCTATTATACATGCAAATATTAAATATTCCAAAGTTTCATCCTAACTAGCATATTATGAAGCACCTATACTACAAAGTTCTAGTTAGATGACATACCTTTTGATGTAGCTTGATGTCTTCAAGCTTTAAGAGCTTAGCCCCAATAGTGTGGAAGCCTCAAATGGAATCACAAATCACCAAAACACCTTGGAAGAACTTGAGAGAATAGGTATGCACACTAAAGTCGGCTCACTCTTATTTTCACACACTTGTGCCAATTTTGTGAGCCAATGACCCCTTTATATATTATGGAGGATTAGGGTTACATCCATGTAAACCCTAATACCCATGACCTTTCATTTACATAGGATCCATGGGTTAAAAGCTCCATGGACCATCCATGAAAGCTTAGCCCAACCTAAATGAACTTGGCCCATTCCATATATATAAAGTCCATATTTAATTAGTTCTTTTTGATCACTTAATTAATTCTAAATTAATTCTTGATCAATACTAATTAAATAATATGATTCCATATTAATATATTAGAACTTATAATATATTAATATAAATCATAAATATACTATTCTCAAAAGACTATCCATATAAATTGTGCCGGTGAAGTGCAACCCAAATGGACCATGCCGGGTCGGGTCAAGTACATACCAAATATAGTTATGGACTTAGACATTAATCCAACAGTCTCCCACTTGGATAAGTCTAAAACTATTATTGAGTATGACTTCAAAACCTAACTGGCAATCGTAGCTCTTAAAGCCGCTGTCGAACTCTGACCTTGTCAATGACTTGTCCATTAGATAAGGGATCATATATTCCTCCATTCTAGATATCATATGGACTGAGACATGGATTATAATCATTCTCTCTGTCCATTTGTTGTTTCACGATTTTCGATTTATGATGATTGACTGGTTGAACAAATCAAATCAGTCCTGGCTTGGCCAAGCACTCACATGTGTCATCGCTAAATCATCGAGGGGCCCACAGATATCGCTTTTATCCCGAAGGTAAAAGGAATGGATAAACTTCGACTCATATGGCTTGTTCTACTACTTGTTGAATCATACACAAAGGCACGTTTTATAACATCGAGTTACCAATGCGTTTTCGTGCAATCAATGTATAACCAACTCATAGTAACAACTCATATATCTTGGTTTTAAGAATATAAGATATTATCGTCTCATGATCACTCGTGATAAAATCCATGAAGTGATTCAAATGAGCGTGGGTTGAATCCAATACTCAGAACTTATGAGCACTCATGAGTGTTGTAGCACCACTTTGTCCACCAACTTGGACCTCTACAAGCCAACCCATGACAGTCTTGATTCATATCTACTTCCAACATATGACCGACTGTGGATGGTTTGAATAACTTAATCATTCAGGAAGAGCGACTTAGTTATTCTGGAAGTCAAAACATGCAAAGTGAAAACACAAGAATAAATGAATCAAATATGGTATCAAACCCTATGAATATAAATAAACACTTTTATTTATCACCATACTGATTACTCATTATTCATTGTTTCGGTTTTATCAACTTTATACTTGAATTAAAAACACTAGTTGTCCCATGCTCCAAGCATGTACACTATGTTTTTCTTAAACAATAGCTTTGCCATACACCAAGTATGCACTCTATGTTTGTCTATGATCCTTACTTTGTGAAATAAACCAATTGAACATAATTTCAATGATTCTAATTTCACACTCCCAAATCCTTATCGAAAAATGTGAGAATTTCAAATTCCTATCATTTATCGAAATCTGTTTAGATTTTAAACTTATATGCACTGACCCTCCTGTAATGAATATGTACAAAGTCACAAAGACTTGTCAACAGTCATTATAAGGTATTCCAATGGAGATCAACTCCATGGAAACTAAGTCTCATATTCAAAGTACATTGCTTTGGACATGCTTCTTGTATTAAGTTTTCTAATCTTACACAGATAACTTCCACCTATGGAGACAACTCCATATTCTCATTTTGACTATCACTTCTGAATAAGAGATGCCTCTTTTCAGAATATGTCAATATGGTCCTTCCAAAATTAGCACTATACTTCCAACTGTCCCTGAGCAACCAATCTTTGGTAAACCTCAGATTGTCCTCGACAATTGCTTAATCATTTTAGTCATATCCAATTCTAGACTTTTTCCCTTCTTAATGCCTCTGGGCATTTGGAAAAATTTAGAAATGACAAATATTATAGCACATGCAATCGATCCTGTACGCAAAGCAAATGGTACACGATTCATGATGTCTCACATAAAGACATGATTCTAGACCAGTCTTTTGCTACAATATTTTTATTTACCATGTTTTCAAAATTTGACTATGAAGAGGGATGCCGTAATCATAATCGAATTTTGAGAACGCAATATATAGAATTTCCTTAAGTTGAACCAATCCAACATGAAATTCATATATATATTCTTGACTAAAGATGATTAAGGTCTCAATCTAAGCCTTTAGAACTGAAATGAAGTATATCCTCTCCCTTAATTATAGCAAAACAACTTTTTCAATCCCTGCAGCCTCACGAATTGAAACTTTTGTTTTCTATAATTAACATTGCTAACTTGCAACACTAACAATAATTATCATGCTCCCACTAACATGATGATTATTAGCATAACACTTATGCTCCCACTAGCTTTGACATGTACTCAGAAATCAGCTGGACTTCTAGAAATCAATACTTTATTGACTTTCTTACCAAAGTTCAGATTTCTGATACGAGATGCTTTGATAAAACTTTATCAAAATCATACACCTTTCCTTAGATAGCATGCATGTGTGTCTAAACAATTTCAGAACTATGAAAAGGGATGCCGTAATCATAGTCTCAATTGTTTAGACCTTTTGCCATCTGCTTCAAATCTACTTGGTGGAAGTGTTTCCTCACCATCATTTTCATGAATCGGAGAGAAACCTTATGACCCTTAGATTTTATGGTGTATGTGTTCTTATCCATGTGAATCGTCAAAACCATAGTCACAAGACAAGGATAATGACAAATCCAAACTCATATGAACTGAACTTATGCAATCTTAACTTCTTGCCACCTGGCAGTACAGGGCCTGCCATTGCTTCCAAGTTGTTATGCAACCAATTGAGAACTTTCAGAACTCCTATGCAAAGCCAACTTTAACTGGAATGGGCACAGAATATGTCAACACAATAGGTTATAAACCTCAATTCATGTGCTAGTGAAGAACCTCAGGTTTTATTCTTGATTAGTTCTTGAAATTTTTTTAGGATCTTTAA